AAAAAGAGAAGAAGAAGAAGAGGAAGTATCAGAAGAAGAGGGGAACACTTCATGGCCAGAGTTTGTGCACACGTCATTACCACTGTGACTCATTTGCCACGTTAGTGCCAAATAATCAGCCACTTAACACCGTTAGTGTGTATTTAACGGAGATGACTACATTGACACAAATTTTTTCTATGTTTGGATTCAATTGACACTTTTACACCACGTGAGGACGACAATGAAACTTTTTTAAAAATGAGGATGAATTTGACACAATTCAACCAAACTGGGGACAAAGGAAGCAATTAAACCTAAAACAAACTAATTCTCTGAATTAAAGTTTTTCATTAAAAAATGTACCGCAGTATACCTTATGCTACCAACTGTCGACAAGTAACCCAGGCGATCGTTTGCCGAGACTTCTCACGATCATAATGTCACGATCGTAGGTATGTCGAACGCTTCTTAACATCATAACATTTACATACTAATGTCGACCACTTGGCAATCGACAACCAGTGATGTCGCGACATATAGCGCACACATGACAACTCGCATGTTTGTGTCGACACACAAGACGATCGATATATATTGAGCGATATCTACGATGTCATAGTAAACGGTTTAGCGGTTAAGGGTAAACAGTTACGAATATTAGTCAACGACGCGAATCACGGGAATAACCGACCCTGTATCTTTGACACGAATCTAACAGTTACAATTTCCAGGTAGTCAACTTCGGTAACTGACCGGATTTTCAGGTAAATGGTTTATTTTACTGTTTTAAATATGAAGATCAGAGCAGAAAAAAGGTACCCAGCCCATTTTCCCATCAGAGAGCATAACACAGGAAGAGATACATCACGGTAACAGCATTGCAGGGAGAAGCAGTTAAGTTTTGTTAGGTTCGTATCTCGGTCTCCGCATCCATACGGAAACAAAAAGTAATAAATATTAAACTTAAATTAAGAAAATCATACATATATAATTTCAACGGACAATTGCTATCACAGTAAATAACCATAAATAAACATTGTGAAAAACTATGTCGGTCAAAAGAGAAACAAAGTTGTGCAAATTTTTAATAGAAGGAAAATGATTGAGTTGTATTTAGTTGCCAAGAAGAAATTTTAAAAATTAATGTGTTTTTTTTATAACTTTTTTTTTAAATAGAAATATTTTAGTGATGCGGTTAAAATTAATATTTGAATTTATTCTTATCTATGGTGGCGTAGATAGTTTGAAAGAATACGTGTTATGATTTCTTTAAATTAATGTTTGTTTTCAGTCCATCTCACCTTTAATAATTGTAATGGAAGATAGCAATTAATAGGACATGTTTGATTATTTTATTATCGTCTTCATAATAAAAAAAATCATCAAAAAATAATGATATAAATGTTAACTGATTTTAAAAACATAATTATATATATATATATATTAAAAATAAAAAAATTGACCAAAAAATAATATAAATTATTTATTAAATTAAAAATATTTTATTAATGAATTAGATATTTTTTTATAATTGAGCTAAATTGATTATATTTATTATTTTTACTAAAGTTATATATTGATATTGATTGAATATCCAAGAGCAAAAGTAATATTAACTTATGATGATTGCATTAATACATTAGAAGTCAATTAACTTTTACGTCAAAACAAAACTCACTTTTTTTTTTTCAACATATCTTAGTTATTATCTTTAGGAGGGGTGTACATTGGAAATTGGAATGGTTAATAACTACTTTCCTATAATATTTGTGTTTTAACTACTTTCCTACAATATCTGTGTTTTATACTTTTAAGTAATTACTTAAAATTATCTTACAAACAAATTTAACAGTATTTAACTATCTAACTGTGTGTAATAATTTACAATTAAATAAATAATATTTACATTATATCAATATTATTTAAATTTAAATATATAACTCTCTGTCCGTTCTTAAAATATATACATATTGCCTNTTCATAAAATTATATATATATATATATATATATATATATATATATTGAATTAATAAAATTGAATTTTGAAATTTTTAGATTCTTAATTATTATTATTATTTTAACTTTTTTAATATTACTACTATAATAATATAAATTATATTTTAATAATTATTTAAATATAAAATATATTAATTAATATTAAATTCGTAATTTAAATTTAATAATTAATAAAATATAAATAAAAAAAATTAGTGTTGGAATTGGAAGTCGGATAACATAGTTATCGGATACCAATATTCGATAACTTTTTTTTAAATTTTATTTCTATTTAAAATTTAATAATAATTTAATTTTTCATATAATAATTATATTAAAAAATTAAAATTAAAATAATTAAAATAAAAGTAATAGAAATAAAGACAATTATATAAAATCTGATTTAATATATAAATATATTAAATTATATTAAAATATTAAATTAATAAAATAAGATTTCAAAATTTTAGATTTGTTAATTATTATTATTTTTATTTTAATTTTTTAAATATTACTACTATAATAATATAAACTATATTTTAATAGTTATTTAAATATAAAATATATTAAATTTTTAAATTAAATTAAATAATTAATAAAATATAAATAAAAACAAATTTTTCGTGTTGGAAATAGAAATTCGATATCGGATACCAATATCCGATAATTTTTTTAAATTTTATTTTCTATTTAAAATTTAGTAATAATTTAATTCAAATGAAAATATTATATTTTAATAATTATTAAAATATTGAAAGATATTAAAATATATTATATTTTTAAATTAAATTAAATAGTTATTAAATTATAAATAAAAGAGAGAGTTTTAAAAATTTTATTAAAAGAGTGCATAGTTAAAAAGGTGCAGGAGTATGATGACTTTAAGGTTAAATCCTTTCGAAAGTCTCTATTTATGTGGGTTTTTTCAGTTAGATCTCGTTTTATAGGTTAACGTTGACGTGGTAAGTTTTTTATAGGTGACACATTTAAGCAAATTAGGTGGAATGTATGATTAAAAAATAAAAAAATAAAGTTTTTGATCATTGAAACCCAAATTAGGGTTCATCTTCAACCTCCTTTCATAATCTTCAACCTCCCTTCATCATCTTCAACTTTAGCGATTTATGCTCAGAGTTCATCACCAAATTAGGGTTTATTACCAAATTTGTGAAGAAGGATTTCTCTACAATTTGGAAATTTCTCTGTAATTAGGGTTCATCGTTTCAAGGGTGCTTTGTGCGAATTGGGGCTGGCGCTTTGGTTCGATGGTGTTTGCGATTTAGGGTGGCTACTGATTTTAGGATTTTCTGTTTGCAGGTTTGGTGGCTCTACGGAAGTTGGGTTCAAGGAAGACGAAGACACGAGGGGTTTCACAGTGTTCACGCATGGAAGTCGCGAGATTGGCGTTCTTTGGGTTTTCTCTTTTCTTTTTTGGGTTCTCCTCTTCTTTGCAGGTGTGAGGCAATTGATGAAGGAGGAGAAGACGAACTGAGGTTTCTCGCGATTCTAGGTTTTGTTGCGGTTGAATATGGAGTGATTGCAATGATGTGGTTGATTATGAAGTTCTCGCACTTGGGTTCTGAGTGTGTTTACAGGTCACGATGCTGCAAGGGAGGCGCTGCTTGCGCGACGATGGAGACGAACTCGCGGTAGTGACGGTGGCGGATGATGGGCTTCTGCGATGCAAAAGATTACAAAAACTCGAAGTTCTCTGGTTCAATTGATGCTTTCAGAAAATTTGTATAACCAACAAATTATGGGTTCTCATGATTTGACTTCATAATAATTATTTTCTAATTTCATTGATGTATCATGCAGCAAATGATTTCTGTAGAAGATTGGCCATGAAGGGTGTAACTAAACTGCAAAATTTTGGATCAATTTTCAATATTTTAATACATGTTTTCAAGAATAAGGAGATCCCATAAAATTTGATTTACTCATTCCTCTTGTTCATTTTGTTTTCCAGTTTAATATTGCGGTTCTTATAATATGAATCTCCTTATTTCCATGTGGTTACTAAGTGATTCAAATTCTAGGATAATCTATTCTTAGAGGGAAATTAGGGTTTCTATTGTTGGGGAGGATGACGCTGACGTGACAGGAGTGATGTAGCAAAAACTGGTCACGTCAACGTGACATGTCATCAAAAACTTAACCCCGTTAAGCCAATTTATTTAACGACAGAAATCTAATTGAGTCAAATTTTTAATATTTAGAATCAAATTGACGAAACCTATAAGACAGGACCTAACTGGGAAAAGTCCATATAAATCGAAACTTTCGAGTTTAACCTTACTTTGAATAGAAAGAGAAAAAATAAAAACAATATTTGTTAAAGTTAAAAATAAATTTTTGATGTAAGATGAAGCGATGGAGAAACCAACAACACAATGAACGAACTCCCATTTTTTTCCACTAAACTTAAATATAAAATTATTAAAAAATAGAAATTAATGTTTTCTCGCTTTGCCTTTAGCAACCAGATATTAGATGTTGGCATTTGCATATCAAATTGAAAAAAGAATGATATTTCGTGTCAAAGACTAAACTGATATTTTGGGCCTCTTTTTATTTATTTATATATTAAACGTTATTGCAAGGAATATTGGGATTAAACTGTGAATTGGACTAATCAACCACCGTCCTTCAACTCCAAATTTAAACTCACTAATGTATTTCCATTACTATTGTATTACGTACCTTCAAAAAGGATAAAAGAAAAGACAAAACAAGAAGAGCACTAATGACACGTTTTCTAACATTTTATAATATTTATATTGATAGTGAAACTTATTCAACACTTGTTTACTTTTTTTTCTGTACTCTTTTTATTATTGTTTAAAATTTGTTCTCTTTTCAATAAATTTTAATGCCTAATTATCTTTTGGGTGCTATTATTGCTTCACTCAAGTTTAAATATTTTAATCTATACAAATATAAAAGCATGCTTATCCAAACAAAATTGCCACCTTAAAACTTGTCGTTTCATGGCAAAACATGAGTGCCGGCCAAAAAAAAAAACTAAAACCTTGTCTGTTACGGAAGAAGTTCCTTCCATCATACTGAATCTCTTCTTTTCTATTTCTTCTTTCTCTGTTACCACTTCCCAGTCCCACAAATCCATCATGAACCTTCCATTTCCCGCCATTTTTATCATCTTCATTATCTCCATCCCTTCATCTATCGCCGGCGCTGGCGTCGACGCCGTTTCGCGCCTTATTGAGACCCAAGACCGCGAAAGAGCTCCTCCTTCCGTTCAGGAAGCCGCCGCGCGCGGCGTCCTCCTCCGCTTGTTGCCTTCTCTCTCCTCTAGCTTCCACTTCCAGATCATCTCCAAGGAATACATATATTCTTTTATTATTGTCGTAGCTTATGACTCTTACCCTAATCGAAGTAGTTAATGATTTTTTTTTTACTTTTTTCTATTAACAGAAGCAATGCGATGGTGAATATTGCTTCGTTATCAAAAACCTTCCTTCTTTTGCGACACAAAAGGATCCTCAAATTCTGTATGTCTCTTGTGATTTTCTTAACAAAGTGCTCGAGATTTTTTATTAGAATAATTTTCTATGTTATGTTCTTTTGAAGACTTCAAATTATTCAGTTGCCTGAAATCATCCGTAACGCCATAATTTGTGAGCAAACATAGTTTGTTTATAGTTTGATAGCCTAACTTACTCAGTGGACAATCATAACTTACTGCTGATGCGTTCTCTTTTCACTTTTAAAGTTTTTTTTTTATATTCTTAACTTTATAAAAATATTAGTAAAATATGAAAATTTCTTATGCATTATGCTGATAGAAAATACTTAACTTTATGAAAATGCTTTCTTTAGATCCATGTATATTTTTATTAATATAGATTAGCAGACTTAGTGTCTAAAACTATTTGATAATTTGGATTAATATAGAAATGTGGCTAATCATTTTTATTGTGTCTATTTTAGTTTAGTTCCCAGAATTTAAAAAGTTTAAACTTGATCATTCAAAATATTTTTATTGAATTAACAATTTTATCTATGACGCATATCATAACTATAATTTGACTTTGTAATGACAAAAAGGATAGAAAATAAAGTTAATTTAATAGGTGCACTTTAAAAGATTAAAATAAAACCTTTAAAATTTTAAAAATAAACTGAAATAAAAAAATAAAAGGAAGAATCTTTAACCAAGTCTTTATCCTAAAAAAGGCAGAGTCTTAATACTTAATAAAATAATAAAATTGTCTTCTCAAAAGATAAAATATTAAAATAGTAGTTAGAGAAAAAAACTGAAATACAAGAGATAGTTTCAACTTCAATTGAATTTTTTAAAATTGTTTTAGATTGAAAACATGAATTCTCTCTAGAGTGGTCAACATGAATTTTCCCTAGACAACGTTGAACACAGCAATGTTTTTCTGCTAGCATTTCTCTATAACTCAATCGGAAAGTGATGGAGTGGAACTTGTTCCGATGATTTTGAATCCCCAAATAGGATTGAAGGAACAACAGGAGTGGACATAGTGTCGGGTCTGCACTGGTATCTGAAGCATTGGTGCGGTTCACACATATCATGGGACAAAACCGGTGGTTCGCAGCTATTTTCCGTGCCCAATGCGGGCTTTCTCCCACGCGTTCCCCACTCTGGAGGGGTCTCTGTTCAGAGGCCTATTCCGTGGAGCTATTACCAAAATGCAGTTACTTCTAGCTGTAAGCTACTTCTTTGTGTGGAATTTGATGTCACGGGATTTTGTTTCGTGTTCATGTTGTGTGATGTTATTGCTTTATCTGGGTGTGGAAGATTCCTTCGCTTGGTGGGACTGGGAAAGATGGGAAAAGGAAATTGACTGGATGGCTCTGCAGGGTGTCAACTTGCCTCTTGCGTTTACGGGACAAGAGGCTATTTGGCGGAAAGTGTTCCAGGTCGCTTTCTTACCAATTTGAATTAAAACAAGTTTGTGGTATGGTTTGGCATTCTAGCGTCTTTATAAGGATTGTTCTATAGTTTGATAAAAACAGAGATTTATGTCATTAAGGATTTGAGGTTAGTTTCATTAGTTTTTGGAAAATGGAAATTACCATGTTTGAAAATGTTGATCAATATCCTGTGGTTGATTTACCGTTTGGCCTCATTCAACTTATGTTTTTGTCCTGTAAACTTAGTTTAGTAATGTGTTTGGTTTCCCTCAAAAGTCTGTTTGCTCTCCTACATTTGCCTTGAATCCAAGTTTCTATTGAAAACAAAATGATATCAAGGTTGTTTTTGAAAATTCAGTTTGCAAAATTAAGTTCATTCAAATCATAGTTTGCAAATTTTAATTCAAACATGCGCTTTGATCGTGTTTGTAAATTCGTACACAGCCATTTATAAAGAATCCCACTTTCCAATGCATGAAACTTAGAAGGAAGGGGCTTGATGGATTGGCGTTGCACTGAAGCACACACTTTCAGGGAATGATTTCATAACTCATAAAAAGGACAAAATAATCATCTTTCTCATCTAAATTGATGTCAGCTTCTTTGGCCATTTGATGCTAATGATCAAATATAGATGAACATCTTGATTTAGGCCTTAATTCTGTAATTTGTTTATTCACATTATCTTATCAGAAGCTCAGTAATCTTAGGTATTGTACGGCTTAATTCTGCTCCATGAAGTATTGCTTAGATAGCTATCTGACATTATATTCAACCTCCAGGAGAAATTTAACATGAGTATTTCTGATTTGGATGATTTCTTTGGAGGTCCGGCATTTCTGGCATGGTCACGCATGGGGAATTTACATGGGTGAGTGGAGTGATTCACGAGCCTATTGTTCCACTTTAATAGTTCACATGCTTTTAGTTTAATGTTGATGAGTGAAATTTCAATATTGGAATAATTTAGGTTGAAACTAGAATTGTGCATACATAACATAACTGCTTAAACCTTTCAGTTTCATTGCAAAATTGTCAAGTTTGAGGTTTTTGGCAAAACCTTTCTCTATGCCTTGATTGTCATTTTTCCTGTATCAGGATGTCATAGTTTTAGTGAAATGTGTAACTATTTTGAGTCATAATGCAATTCCAGATGGGGTGGACCACTGCCACAGAGCTGGTTTGATAATCAATTAATCTTACAGAAGAAAATTCTCGCCAGAATGTATGAGCTTGGAATGACACCAGGTACCCATTAACTCGTTATTATTATTGACTCCTCCACATAACAGCAATAAACTATTGTCGATCTTTATGCAAACTAAAGAATGGCCCTGGATTGAAAATTAATATTGTTCTTTTGGTTTAAGTTCTTCTATGGAAGTGGAATTTGTAAGTACTGAAAATTTACTTTTCAGTGCTGCCAGCTTTTTCTGGAAATGTCCCTGCTGCGCTAAAATATATATTTCCATCAGCAAAAATAACACGCTTAGGAAATTGGTGAGTACAACTGTGTATGTGTGTTGAGTTAAACTTGAATGTAATTAGTCTATTTATGAAGCAAACACACTGGTCTAAGAATTTAATTGAGAACGTTTAGTTCTCAGTATATAATTAAGATATTTCTGTAAGAATATTGGGAAGTTGATAAGTGTCATTGAAATGCTACAGACTTACGACCTTGTTCTGTTGTGCTGTAGGTTTTCTGTAAAGAATGACCTCAAATGGTGCTGCACCTATCTTCTTGACGCAACTGATTCTTTGTTCATTGAGATTGGGAAAGCATTCATTGAGAAACAACTACAAGGTGGGCAGAGTTGTTGGCACAGTAAAATGTTAAGGGAAATTGATTTGTACTAAATATCCAGATACGAATTTAATTGTTTGTGATATTTGATTATGTTTTCACCCAGAGTATGGAAGAACCAGCCACATATATAACTGGTAAGTTTTTCTTCACTGGACTGTTTTACTATATGTTGTGAAAAAATGTTCAGATAGTAAGCAATAATTGTTAAATTACTTTTATTTATTTTAGAAAGAAACAATACATTGGTATTTAAAGGAAAAACGAAATCCTAATAAAAGGAAATAAATCTCCTGAGATAAAGGAAATGTATCTCCAAAAATAAAGGAAATAAATATCCTGAAATAAAGACTCTAAATCAGGTGCAAATCTACCAAATAAATTCATAATCCCAATTCCTTAATTTTAGGGATATTTTACAATCAAATCCATATTTATTATTCAATCAATTTATATTTATTATACATTAAATGTGCAATATTTATACCCGCATTTTAACACTCCTTCTAAAGCGGAGGAATAAATGTCCTCCATTCCCTGCTTGGTTATGAGATTATGGAAGTCTTTTGTCTACACATCAGCCACCTTCTGCCTTTGGATGGAATTATGACATGCATACTAAACCTTCTTCCAATTTTTCCTTAATGAAGTGTCTATCTATTTGTTTATATTTTGTTCTGTCATGCTGAATGGGATCATGTGTAATGTTTATTGCTGATTTATTCTTGGGTCCCTTCAAATTAATCTTCAAGTCGTCTAAATTTTTAGGCATATAACTCACGTAGCCCTTGTGCCATGGACCTGAATTCTATTCCAGCAGATGATCTTGCCACCAACCGTTGTATTTTTCTTCTCCATGTCACTAAGTTCTCACCTAGGAAAGTACATATCCAGTTGTTGATCTTTTATCAATAAGAGAACATGCATAATCTGCACTAATGTCGCTTCAAGAGTTAGTCTTCGATTTCTTTTGAACAGTATTCCCTTGCCAGAGTGACTAATGACACTTACTGAATGAGCAATGTCTGAGCCAAATATATTAGTTTTAAGGAAAGCGTTCACCTGGGAGATATAAATACCAATAACATCTGAGCCCAATCATATAAGGGATTGACACCACTCTCTACCCAAAACTTTAAGGTAATGGGTTAATGGGTCTTTCAACTTTATATAGTGTTCTACTTTTTCATTTCTATCCAATGTGGGACTTAGACTCACTTGGATTCCCAATAGTTATCCCCTCCTTACAGGAATGTTTAGTAAACAAAGTGTGATCTCCTTGACTTTGTTTGTAGCCAAATCCTTTCATAGCTTTTGTGAATATTCCGAACCAAGTTCTAGGAGATCATTTCAATCCATAAAGAGTCTTTCGTAGTCTACATACTTTAATTTTTTTTTTTATCTTTCAACCCAGGTTGAATATTCATGCAGATTTCTTCCTCTAGGTTTCCATGTAGAAACACATTTTTATCATCATAGTGCAGAAGTTTCCAATCAAAGTGGGCAGCTAAAGACAAAAAAGAATCCTTACAATATTCATTTCAGAAATTGGTGCAAAAGTCTTTTAGTAGTCTATTGCATAAGCTTAAGTGTATCTCTTGGTGGCCAAGCTCGTTTGTACCTTTCAATAGATCCATCAGCCTCTTTTTTTACTGTGAATATTCATTTGCAATAAACAATATACTTTTCTCTGGGTTTGTCAACAATTTCCCAAGTACTATTCTTTTCCACTGCATCCATCTCCACTTTTATGGCATCTCTCCATTCTTGCTTTGTCAAAGCTTCAGTAACGGCGTTAGAAACAACAAGAAAATTCAAACTAACGATGAACCTTTTATGGTTAGCTGATAATCTATTCAGAGAAGCATAATTTCATACAGGATAAAGGTTGTTTTATGCTGTTTCTAGTACCTTATCTTAGGCTATTTGCAAATCAAGGTCAGTTGGAGAGTTGAGAGTGTTCTTATTTTCTTGTTCAACTCTGTCTGTATTTTCATGTTTAGGACTTCAATTCGATTCATGGACTTGCCATATGTTTGGAATGTTCTTCCTTCTTGTGTAGACATTGTTGAATCTTGGAAAATTGTTGGTACTAACTCTTGGGATTGAATCTCTAGCTGTTCCGGTATTTTCTCCTTGTAATTCAGTGGCATCAATGATATTATCGATTTAAGTTTCTAATTGTGCCCCAGAATTATTTTACTCAGCTGTAGGTTCATATTTCAAGGCTTCATTTGGAGAATATGACAAATTAAAGAGTTCAAGATGGTCAGCACAATCTTGTGACAAAACTTCTAGAAAGCCATCGTTGAGAAAAATGATTTAGTTTCAATGAAGGTGACATCAATGGAGATATACAATTTTTGGATGAGGGACTATAACGCTTATAACCTTTTTGAGTTGCTGAATAACTAAGGTGACATCCGGAGACGAAGTCTGTCTCTATTTTGATCATGGATATCTACAAAAGCTGTGGACCCAAATATTCTAAGAATGAGACCATTTGAGATCTTAAAGTGAGGTAGGGTTTCAAGAGGACTTTTGTTCTCTAGTTATGTGATGGAAGTCTATTTATCATATATATAGCAATTAGGACAACTTCTCCCCAATAATTTTTTGGAACTTTTTCCCTTGAAAGAGAAGTGCTTGGGTGGTTTTAAGCAAGTGCCTATTTTTCCTCTCTACCCCTCCATCTATTGGGGAGTATAAACACTTGAAGAGTCATGAATAATCCCTTTGGACTGAAAATAAGTAGACACAGTTTGTTTGAAATAATCCCTACCTTGTCAAACCTAAATCTTTATATTAAACCCAAATGTATTTTGAATAAATGAATGAAAGATGGGAATAGTAGTGCTAACGTTAGATTTTTGTTTAAACAAATAGAGCCAATTAACTCTGGTGCAATGTGTCCGTCCTGTCATGCAATGGTATTAGTTAAGTGATCTAACTTAGGTCTTTGTGTCATCCTTATTAGATTATCATGCATATCATTAAGTTTCAAGCTTAAACCCCACTCTCTAATGTGGCTTATCAAAACTTCCTTGTTCAGGATTCTCAAGTCCTTGCATTGATATACGATAGGTATATAAGTTGAGGCCACTAGTTAGTAATTGATGTAAACCCAAGAGGGGTTTTATCTTGATTGTGGACCGACTAACTAAATGAAGGAAATAAAAACACTTAGGATATGCCCACCTAAGAGAAGAATTCTCCAATGAATTCACATTATGAACCAAGCTGAATTACATGAGGACACTTAGCTCCGTATGAGAAACAAGCTAAACAAGTATTCGTGTTCTCAAACAATTGTTTTTAAAACTCAAATTGTCACAATCAAATAGTCATTTGATCTTTTAGGATCACATCAATCAGTTGGGGTGTTGTTGAGTTAGTGAGTCAAGTAGTTGAAGATGTGTCTAAATAGACAAAGGGATTGATAGCAGGGTCATTCTTTATGTGGAAATTTGCAAAGGAATTGTGAGAGACTTGGATCTCTCGAAAGTCCAGCAGTGTTCCCAATATAACTATCACAAGTAGAACTCTCCCCGGTTCTTTGTTGACATTTCTTCTTCCTTTATTAAGTTACCAATATCTCATCAAATTATGAGAAAAAAAGGGTTTGTGATAAATGTCAAACTGAAGTTGCAATTGAGAAATGGTAGAATGTGTAGTATTAATTTATACGCATATGCATCATCTTACTATAAGCTGTTCATAAAGAAAACCCTGATTCATTAACAAAGAGTATGTTGGACTAATCCCAGTGATACTTTTGACGAGAACACCCCACCAATTGATGATCCAGAGTACATTTCATCATTAGGTGCAGCAATTTTTAAAGGAATGCAGAGTGGTGATGATGATGCTGTTTGGCTGATGCAGGTAATGGAAATTAGTTTTTTTCTTTTTATTGGACAACCTTGATTTGATGCTGCTAAGTGCTAGCTTTGATATATAAGCATAGATTTTCATGCAAGTAGACTTATGCATCCACCAAACTCTTAATGGGTCGTACTTCTTCTATACAGGGGTGGCTGTTTTCATATGATCCCTTCTGGAGACCTCCTCAAATGAAGGTTAGTTCATAATATTTTACCTCTGAACTGTATTGAATGTTTTCACCGATAGTCTTCAAATAAACAAAGCTGTCTTAGATCTGTCTATGAAAACTATTCTTTCTGACTTAGTTAATTTTTGTCTTTTGCAAGGATTTCAATTATATTGGTTTTCTCAACTAAAATTTGATTGTTGCTTCAAATCCCCATTATATATAGAGACTATAGCTACTTTCCTTTTTCTTCCATATGCCTGTACAAGACAACGGCTTGAATAATCCATATACATGTGCTGACAAATGTATTTATTAGGCAGTATAAATGCTTTCTACAATTATGTGTTCACTCTGGTCGTTCCTTCTTAATTATGATTCATATGTGATTCTTATTTTCAGGCCCTTTTACATTCTGTTCCTGTTGGAAAGCTGGTGGTTCTAGACCTATTTGCTGAAGTAAAACCCATTTGGGTTACCTCAGAACAGTTTTATGGAGTTCCCTACATCTGGAAAGTCATTTTCCATTTTATATTTATAAATAAATATAATAGTGTCATTCTTGGCTGTGGCATGTTATAACTTTTGTCTATAACTATGCAACAGGATATTAAAACTTTGAAATTCATTAATTTGATAGATTTAGATATATTTATCTGCTTATGGATTTGATATATAAATAAATTTATGTAATGTTCTTATCACTGACTTCGTGTGTGTTGTGCTTCACAGGTGTATGCTGCACAATTTTGCAGGAAACATTGAGATGTATGGGATATTAGACGCGATAGCATCTGGGCCGATTGATGCACGCACAAGTATTAACTCAACAATGGCAAGTTACTCTTTTTTATTGGGGACTCATTTTTATATTTAGTTGCTCACTATTGAATTATATGAATGATGTGAGGATAGATTGATAAAGAAAACAACAACAAATATGAATATTCCTCAACAATAAAATGTTAAATTGATGTGGTGTAGTATATATGATGATGATTTTATATTATATATATATATATATATATATTTATCTTTCAATTTAGTTAAAGCAATAAACAATTAATTCTTAGCATATTAAAAAAAAAGGCTTTTTCATTTAAATTTGGTTTTTGAAACCAAAACCTATTTTGTAAATGATTCAAAAGCAGTTTAAATTAAATTAAAAACTGAATTTTGGAAGAAAAATAATTTAGTTCCATTTAGGTTTTTTATTTTATCCGCAAAGAATAATATATATATTTTTATATTTATATACAAAAGACACTAGAGGTGCCCATATACAAAAGATACTTTTCGAAGCTAGAATTTGGTGTATATATGAACATAATTACAATCTCTTTGAGATCTTTGAGATCTACTATCTAAAGTGTAATTTACTGTTCAAACTTGGTTTGAGTTGAAAAATGTCATTTCTCGTTCAATGTGGTCTGCTCAGCATGAGAAATATATTCTCAATCTCTTATCTTTTCAACACCCATCAGAATTTGAATTACGCACCATGTTATAATTACTTTCACAAAGTAACTCTGCTAATAACTTTTCATACTTATCATTACCTATTTGATTTAATGAAGGTTGGAGTTGGAATGTCTATGGAAGGTATTGAACAGAATCCCATTGTCTATGATTTGATGTCTGAAATGGCATTTCAGCACAAGAAGATTGATGTTAAGGTAAAATTAGAGAATCTTTGGAGTAAAGAGGTTGCCTTTATTTACTCATGGTTTTCCTATATTCTGCTAGGAGGATCACTTGTAACCTGAGGAACTCCCCATAATGTGGGTGACCAGTTCTGTTGAATGTGAAATGTACTTTTATTGTTTGCCAAGTTTCATTCTGGAGACACTTTCTCCCAAACCAATTTCATTATCCACCTCGACTAGGTAACTTTTTGGACTTAATATGTAATTCCAACTTCTTGTCTTCTATTTCTCATCCCATGAATGCAATTCCATGTTTACAGAACAGAATATTTATAAACCCCATGTTGCTGATAATTTTGATCCATAGCTGGCTTTTTGTTAACCATGGGTAAAATCAGTGTAACCATGGAAATAATATAGAAATGAAGTATATTCCTTTGGCAATTTTTTTTGTCATGCTTATATCTATGTATTGTTCATTAGTGCTCTGATACAACAACGGTAAGAGCCCAATTTGGTTACCATAGCTCTGTCATTTCTCCTTTACTAGTGTGTTTGGTCTCTGCTGTTAATATCTGAAGTTGTAAGCACTGCACACCTGCCACTAAATCCATACTTTAATTTGTTTTATAAAATGTTGTGGGACAATAAATAAATACTAAATAACATGCATTATATGCATTTTGTGTTTCCAACATTGTAAATGTTTTCTTTTCCATTATTATCTATCTACTTTTTTCCCCTATACCCGTGCATCTGATACGTAGAAAAACGCTTCTTTTATTCCATATCTTTCTTCCGTCTTCACTAACTTGGTAATGCTTTTAGATTGAAATACATGAACGTTTCTTTTTCAGGCATGGATTGACATGTATTCAACTAGACGATATGGACAGTCACTTCCTTTGATACAAGAGGGATGGAATGTCTTATATCACACTATTTACAATTGCACAGATGGAGCCTATGTAAGTAATTGATCGAAACTTATAGCTATGATTAATAATTTATTCCAGTTAATCCTGGAAAAGAAGACCTTCTATGGATTGTGTTCAACTTCTACTGATCCTCATTCATTGCCTTCCCTTTATCCATACTTCATTTTCATTGTGTGATACACCGAGATCGATAATACGTTTCAGACACTTCACTAAAGTGTCGAATATAAGTAGCATTTTTTTCTGCTTAGACACTTCTCTAACATAATGTTAATGTTGATGAGGACAGACAAATTGATTTTTTTTCAGAAGTTAAAGTCACAAACTTTTTTGTGTAAACTTCTATTTTTCCTTTATACAAGCAAACAGTCTATTTTGCATTTACGTTTTCTCTTGACCACGACTAATGAGTTTTCTCTTCTGTTTAAAATTGTCTTTGGATGAACTTGAGTAACTTTAGTTGAACTTGATTTAGAGGGTATCTTGTTCAATAATAATGATCCACAAGCTGGTGGCATGTTTTAAATAAATTATACCCTAATTTTTCTTTTCTTAAATTTCAAATCGATGAATTATATCTATTTTGTATTAAGAAATAATGTGTTCATATTGTTATGTTTGACTAACTTTTTTTATAAATGATTTTAAATATATAAATCTTAATTATCAATGGACTATGTCTGTGCGTGATATGTATAAAGCAGGAAAACAAATACATCACATTTTTCGCTAGTTTACTTTATTTGTACATCTCATCCTAGTCCTAGACAGTAATGCATAAGTTCGTATATCATACTAAAGTTTGACCCAATATTCTTGTGTGGGAACAGGACAAAAACAGAGATGTCATCGTAGCATTCCCTGATGTTGACCCTTCCTTAATTTCAGTACATCATGATCAGTCTCGGCACTATGACATGCCCTCAGGAACATTTATCAAGGAAACGACCGATACATTTGATCGACCACATTTATGGTATTCAACTTCTGAAGTAATCTATGCATTGGAGTTTTTTATAACTAGTGGAGATGAACTTTCTAGAAGTAAAACTTACAGGTGAGACTGATAGAAGTTGGTTGTATTATGATTCTTTCTCGTGTTTCAGCACTTAGCTAAATGTAACTCATTGATGTTTATTCTTTACCCAGGTATGACCTAGTTGATCTGACAAGACAAGTCTTGGCAAAATATGCAAATGAATTATTCTTTAAGGTCATAGAGGCATATAAATCACATGATGTCCATGGAACGACCCTTCTCAGCCAGAGATTTCTGGACCTTGTGGAGGATTTGGATACACTATTGGCTTGCCACGATGGGTTTCTTCTGGGACCTTGGTTAGAAAGTGCAAAGAAACTAGCTCAAAATGAAGAACAGGAGCGACAGGTTTGCTATACTCTAATTGGCACAAAAAATTGAAAATTCCCTTGTTCTATTCTTGGTTTTTTTACGAGGGTTATTATGGATATGGATAAGTCGACCCCCACATGACTTCAAATGAAGAAGTGATGCAGGGGTGCATGACTGTAGTTCTGACATTAATTAAAAGGCGAAGTTATGCACCTCACACATTTTCTGAGTTTGGTAATTGATTACAACCAACTTTAATCGATTACATAATACTAAAATCGTGCATGGGTGCATAACAATATTGTAATTGATTACCACAAAAGTTGTACACCTAATGCATGATTTCAGCATTATATAATCAATTACAGTTAGTTGTAATCAATTATTAGACCCGCGCACGACTTCACCTTTTAACAAATGTCAAAACTAAAGTTATGCATCTTTTGCACGACTTCTTTGAAGTCGTGTGGGGACTGTACGACTTGTTTATATCCGTAATTTTGAAATTTTTTTGTCCATATTCATAATAACACTTTTGAATTTGCTTAGAAATGTAAAAGAACTTCTATTCTTCTATTGATGTGACCTAAATGTTTGTAGTTTGAGTGGAACGCTAGAACGCAAATCACCATGTGGTTTGACAACACAAAGGAAGAAGCCAGTCTGCTTCGTGACTACGGTATGAATAACAGTTAATTACTTGCTATACTATTAAACCTTGCTTCACTGGTTAGGATGTGTTAGCCTTTTTTACAGCAACATTATGCCATGTTTGAATAAACTAGAGAAAAGAAAACATGAACAATTAATATATAGAATTTTGTCCTTTATTTATTCAAAAGTTGATTTTTAACTTATACATGAATTATTTTATAATTTTTTTTGGACTAAATATGCTTGCAATCCCTAAACTTGGTGTAGAATTAGAATTTGTCTGTCTTCCAATGTATTTTAGTTTTCAAATTTTAAAAATGAATTAATATAATCTTTTTAGTCTAACTAATGTAAATAGTTCAAAGCTGGATAGCTTTCGAAATCTCAAAAAAAATTTAATCGCAGTTAGGTTAGGAGGTTATATTTACTCAGTTTCAAAATTTGGAGACCAAACTGTATTAAAGTTTGGAATAGAAACAAATTCTAATTTCGTGTCAAAGTGTAGTGACTAAACATATTTAACTCTTTTTTCTTTCTTCGTATAAGTACTTGTAGAAAGGAACACAGATAGGATTTATAAAGTTAAGGCTTGTATACCTTTTGCTTTTGTAAATGGTAAGCACTCTCCTTTCTTAATGAAGAGCATCTTTTGGAACCCACACAGAAAAGGGAAATAAATAATTAATAGCAATGTTATGTTTAGTAATGTCAGTTAACTTGTTCAACGCAGGAAACAAGTACTGGAGCGGGCTTCTGCATGATTACTATGGCCCCAGAGCTGCTATTTACTTTAAATATTTAAGAGAAAGCTTAGAGAAAGGGAAAGATTTCAAGCTAATTGAATGGAGGAGGGAGTGGATAAAGCTTACTAATGAATGGCAAAAGAGTAGGAACATTTTTCCTGTGGAAAGTAAGGGAGATGCTCTAATCACTTCTCGGTGGCTTTTTAACAAATACCTGAACGTCACCAATCCTGAAACAAAGCTTATACAGGAGTAAACAATGAAATTTCAACAAACTGTTCTTAGATGTATAAGAAACCAACACTTTCTCCAGATTTTCAATTCCCATAATCTCTTCCCAAATTTCTTTTTCAAATTTACTTTGCCAATGTGGAAAGGAAACTATAGTTTTCCAGTTCCTGCAAATTGCAAAAACGTAAAGCAAGTGTGCCAGTTATTCCTTTATGCTACCAATGGACTTGAAGTTTTGAAGACAGCCATGTCTTATTGTTGGGAATATAGATGGATTTCTTTAACTATGTGGACCTGACAATTAGGTTGATACCATGTTCTTATTGAATTTTTTCTGAATTAACTTTTCAAATACTTTTCAGATACTATTGTCTTATATAAATTAAATTTTCAAAAATCTATATTAAGCACATGAGCATATCAATTGCACGTTTATTCTTAAAAAGAAGTTACTGCGTTATTTCCCACCATCATAGTGCTAACCAATATTTATATTACATGTAATTGAATATTACTAATATTTTTTTTTTATAAATTATAAAACTTGAATAGGCATAGCATAGAAATTTATCAAAACCATAGTTCACATCTATAAAATAGGTCAACTACTAAATAGTAACTTCTCGAAAGGGAAAATAAAATATGTGGTAAATTTAATTATAAGAAAAAAAATGTCTGGTGAATTTAATTATAAGTAAACTTCAACTTTTTTTATATATCTATGGTATCATATTAAAATATTTTATAATTAATTGAGTTGTTATTTCTTATAAGGATATTTAAAATATTTTTTATATTATTTAATAATATATTTCCAAAGCTATCTTATAATTAATTGAGATACCATTTTTAATTATTTTTTATTTTTTATTTTTTATATTAAATTTTAGTGAAGATACTTTAAGAAAAAAAGTATTCCATAGATACAATGAATAAAAATTAAATTATTAATTTATTTTCTTAATATAAGTATAAATTTGTTTTATTTGTATTTAAGGTTAAGTATCCCACATGCTTTGATTGGATGGTGGTGAAAAGAAAAATAAGAGAGAAAAAAAGAATTAAACCATATAAATGTAACCTTAAAGACCATATTACTCTAAGAAAAAAGCAAAGGAAATGGTCAGAAGAAAAAGTAGGTTTCATTATTACTTAAAAACATAAAAATTGAGGTCAAAGGTATAAAAAAAGTAGAGAGAAAATTAAGAAATGAGATTTAGAGATATAACTTAATAAACTTTACTTATTAGAAAATTTAGAGTTAAATATGTTTTTGTCCCTCAACTATCAAGCTATTTTATTTTTGATCCCTTTTTCAAATTTTGATACACTTTGATCTTTGTCCTTAAGAAAATAATTTTTTGTCCTCCAAAACCAATTTTTCGTCCCTCTTTCAAATTTTGATACACTTTGATCCTTATCTTTAAAGAAATAATTTTTCGTCTTCCAAAACTAACGGCGTTAAAAATAAGCAGAGGTGACTAACTCCTGACCACACGTGATGACACGTTTCTTTTCAAACGTTAGCCACGTGTTTGATTACATGTTTCCTTTCTTACATTGCTTTGTGGCATGGCGAAAGAGGAAGAAACTCTTCCTGCGTTTCTTGACGAAGAAGTCCTGCCCATATCACACCTCCACTGCGCTGCCGTCTTCTCCGAACAACTATAATCACTAGCTCTTCACTCAACACCACCCACGAGTCAAGGTTCTAGATGTTCGTCACCACCAAAACCACAATTGCAAAGAAACCCTCTTTTTCCCAAGATTGGGTGGTCCGCGAGCAAGGAGCAAGAAATTGGGAAAAAGAAAAATGAGTTTGCGACCCTTTGTTTTAATTGAATATGGATAGCAACTTTTGGAAGGATATGAATTTGCAAAATCAAAGGGAAGAGGGGAGAAAGAAAACTCAGGATAAAGAAGCTTCACATTTTTTAGCCATATTTCTTTCTCGCTTCCATGTGTTTTACTTCATTGCAGAAGTATTCTACTGTTCTTGCAATTGTCTTTGTAACTAAATTTTGTGTGGCTAATTCCACCAAATTTAGAAATATCTGATTACGCCACCAAAATATTTCCGGTAGAAAAAAATGTCTTTTTGTTATGTTGAGGACCTTGTGTGAATCAATTTGTGGGTAATTTGTGCTTTGTTACACGATTATAGCTATTGTTGATAATCTTAATTTTTTAGCTATAGCTTTTGGAATTTCATTATTATCTGTACATGCACAAATTTTTGCAGTTTTATGGTGCCAATAATACTGTGTAGAGAGTGAAAACTTAAAATAAGACCTTGCGTAGAGTTTAGAACCACTTTTTCTACTAAACTCTAGCATTGTGGCTAATTAAGCAATTTACCTGATATGGAATGTGTAACAGGGTTGTTCACCAACAAAGATTAACTCAAAAACCAATAACTGTCCATAAAAGGATAATGAAAACTAAGAATAGAATCAGAAATTGTTAATTTTAAATTTTTGAGTAAATTGTGATACAACAACCTCTTGCAGCCAACTCAAAGACTGAATTCAAACTGATTTTTAAAACAATTTTGGTGCACAAAATCTCAAATGATTTTAATCTTCCAAATTCAAAGATGCAAGTGACACTCCTCATAAGTCTGATATCACGAACGAATCTTCCTCACCCTGTTATGAATCGAGTATACCTCTCCAAAATTTTCCTTCTGTGTTCCAAAGAAATATCTGTTTCACTGTTTCAGGAATATGCTTCTTGGCAAACTCAGTAGCAATTGGATTAAGCATGACGTATGTTTGATTTATCAAATAGAAGCTCCCTTTATTGAATTTTTTGAGGTCATCGTTTTCTTGTTGATCTTGTTGAACTGCAACACCACGGATCCAGATCAGGGCTCTTCGAGAAGCAGGAAGGTACTGACATACACGAAATCCCTTATTTCTCTGAATGTTTTCTGGTCCAAATTTATGTTTATTATGCTCCCAAAACGTAATTCAACAAATTCATCACTTTGAATTCCCTGTATCATTGCAAACATTGTTCTCTGATTGCATTAAGAAGTTGCTCTGATGCAGCCATCTGGACAACAAACAAGACGAAGACAGCACACCTTCTCGACTTCTCTCGCGTCGATATGTAAGTCTCTTCATTCCTCATTTTTCCTATTCTTCATCTTTTTTCCAGCCCATTCATTTTCCCGCCTGATTCACCTCCAATCTCTGTATTACAATCCAAGAAACACTTAACTGCTGCAACTTAACCACAATATATATTAACAGCCAGGTTCACCTCTAATCTCCCTGTTCTTCCCAAGAGGTCAACCATGCATCCATAATTCCAAGTCACAACATTTCTCTCTCAGGCATTGTATCGAACATCTTTTGTGCATCTCTGGTAGCGTCACCAAACCAAACACGATGGTGCACCTCCTCCCGGCCCAAGGCGTCACCGTCGACACCGCACTCCGCAACTTTCCCCTGCACGTGAAAAGCGCGAACGACCTCATCTTTCGAAGAAGGTGAGTGGACGAAGGGAAGAGGTTGTAGCAGTGCACGAATCTGCAAACTAGGGTTTGGGGCTTGGAGGAAAGGGAAGAGACCACAATGTCAAGAGTTTGCGAGGAAGAAGGAGAATGATGAAGAACAGGTTGGACAATTGCAGAACCTTGAGTTCACGGGTTTGTGGATTAGGGACTCTGTTTCTATGAGACGCGGGCGTAGCAACACTTTTCCAGGTGGGAGGAAGAGAGAGAGGAGAGAGGAGAGAGGAGAGAGGAGGTTCGGTGGCGGAGAGAGGGAGAAAAGAACTGATCTTCCCAAGGATAAAGAGAAGCGGAAGGAGGTGGTGGTGATTGTGAGAGTGGGAGAATTTCTAAGGTTTCAGAGACGGTGTTAACCAGTTCAACTTAATTTTAACATTAGTTTTTGGAAGAGAAAAAATTATGGTTTTGTTAAAAGCAAGAATTAAAATATACTAAAGTTTCGAACAGAGATTAAATTTAAAATCACATTATAATTATATTTAAACAGAGATTAAATTTAAAATCACATTATAATTATATAATTGAAAGACTAAAAATATATTTAACTCAAAATTTTATTTATAATTTAAATTTTTTATTATAAAATTATAAAATTATAATATTATAAAATTATACATGGCAAAAGATAAGCGAGCTCATGAGATAAAAAAAATCACCACCTCTACATCAATTAGTTAACAAAAACAACAATTAACAGTTACTCAGTTGAAAAGTTTCAAATATATGAAAACTTAATAAATTATAAAAAATTATTAAGAATTTATTTGAAAGTTTCTAGATTTGTAAGTAGAATTTAAAACGCGGAATCCAGTTTTCGTAAAATTAAATCCTAATCTAATTTTAAAAAAAACAATGAAAGAAAACTTGACAATATTATTCGTAGTTTTTTTATAACCGAACTGTAAACATTCAAACAATATATATAGGGGTTTGCTAACGTGCGTACGCTTGTTTTTCAGTTGGTACATTTTAGCAATGTATACCGAGTTTTAGTAGACAAAAATATACTATGTATTCTAAGTTTTAAGGTTAAGGGTAAAAAAAAACCCCAAACCCTTACTCACTTCTCTTATTCCTCTCAACTCTTTCATCTTTCTCACTCCAATCTTTTCTCTGTCATCTCTACTGTAGCCCCAATTGAAAAAATCAGAAACACCCTGTAGCCCCAATTGAAAAAATCAGAAACACTTGCAGTTAAACAATCTTATAAAAAATGATTTTATAATGAGTTTTGATCTTATAATTTTTGTCTTATCTAATTTTATCCAATTTTCACAAGCATAAAGGAATTGGTAATTGACCTGGAAAAAATCAGAAATACTTGTTGTTAAACAATTTCTTACAAAAAAATGATTTTATAATGAGTTTTTATTTTATAATTTTTGTCTTATCTAATTTTCACAAGCATAATGACATCAAAGGAATTGGTAATTGGCCTGGAAAAAATCAGAAACACTCGTTGTTAAACAATTTCTTATAAAAAATGACTTTATAATGAGTTTTCATTTTATAATTTTTGTCGTATATGATTTTATCTAATTTTCACAAGCATAATGACATCCGAAAGAATTGGTAATTGCCTTGGAGGGTGTTTTTAGAGATGATGATTCAACATATGCAGATGATGAAATTAGAGAAATTAGTGAAGATGGTGAAATTGAAGAGATCTTGAATGAACCTTTGCCTGAAGGTGAATATGTCAATGACTCAACTCTTTACAAAGGCAAATTGTTTAAAGACAAGTGTTTCTGATTTTTTCAATTG